AGAAGATACCACGTCGACATCTTCCAGTCCTTAGGAGAGTAATACCACGTTGGGACATCTTCCAGGTCGTACGAGAGAGATACCACGGTGGACATCTTCCAATCCTTACGGAGAGCCACGTGGGACCATCTTCCAAATCCTACGAGAGATACCACGTCGACATCCTTCAGTCCCTTAGGAGAGATACCACGTGGACGACATCTCAGTCCTACGAGGAGATACCACGTGGACATCTTCCAGTCCTATGAGAGATACCACGGTGGACATCTTTCGCAGGTCCTACGAGAGATACCTCTTGGACATTTCCGGTCCTACGAGAGATACCACCGTGGACATCTTCCAGTCCTAGGGAGAGGATACCACGGTGGACATCTTCCCAGTCCTATGAGAGATACCCACGGTGGACATCTTCCAGTCCTAGGAGAGAGGATAACCACGTTGGACCATCTTCCATTCCTAGTGGAGATACCACGTTGGACATCTTCCAGTCCTAGGAAAGATACCTCGTGGACATCTTCCAAGTCCTAGGAAGAGATACCCACGTTGGAACATCTTCCAGAGTCCCTAGGGAGAGATATACCACGTGACCATCTTCAACGTCTCATTGAAGGTTAGAAGAAATTCCGCCCGGTTTTTGTTCTTTTTGCGTCCAGCCGGAGGTCGAACGGTACTTTTTATTAAATTTCCCTCTGGATAGTACGTTTTACGGTGAACCACTACAATAAGAATATGTATTATACACAGGGGGCCACGCAACCCCTTTGAGGTGCGCTCGCAGTCTTTTATGTTTTGGAGAGGGAGAAAAGGAGGACATCGGGTTTAGAAAATTTTTGCCCCCATGTTTTTCTCGCCTAATCTCTAAACCGACGGCCTAGACTGCTAGTTTAGCCGTTCGCCTGGGTGTCTTTTAACGATAGCTTTCGTTTACGGACTGCACAAAACCTGCAGCAATGTAAACGTTCGGGAGTCGGTTTTGGAGTCTCCGATTGGCATGACATCTGCCGTGCACAAAATTTTTCGTCCTTTATTTTTTCCTGGGGGGAGTGGAACACATTTAGACCGTTTTCTTTTTCCTAAACTCCGAGTATGACACACGTCTTTATTAGGGACTGCACCAGGGCTTGCTCCTTTCAGACCGCAAAGTATCGTTGCGCTTAAATTGAAATGGAGGCCATCTACTAGACTACGTCCGTTATCCGAGCTCAGACGGGAAAAAAAAATAGGGTTTCCGATTCCTGGGGTTTTTAGGCGCAAAGAGATTGTCACGGCCTTTCTCCCCATACCTCGTCATTGTTCCGGTCCAACGACGGATTACGCCACTTGATAAACCATCAACGTTCGTGATTTGAAGTGTACAAATATATCCATACCGGGATGTTATATACTAAGCGTTATCTCGGACTTTATCCAGGTGAAAATTGATTGAGACCGAGTTACAGTGCCAAACGGAAAATTCTCTATTAAATTCGTGATGTGCATTTTCCAGAACCTCTTTATGACCGGATATTTAACCTACGTTATGACTTGAAATCGGTCTTCCCTTTCGAGGTTCCAAAATCCCTTTAGTAAAATATCTATGTATTGTTCAAACCAGTTTTACTGTTGTCTATTAAATTACTTACCCTGAAGGTTGGTGTAAATTTTTTTTTTCCTTGTTTTATAATTTAAACCGAGTTAAGGAAAAAAAAGTGTTCGGTGGTAAAAATTGATTTTGGGACCCACGGTAAGTTTGGGGGACCCCCCAAACCGTTAAAAACGAAACTTTAGTTGATCATTTGGTCAATAACCAATTCGTATACCTTTTGTTCTTCTCTCCGGTTCCTTGTCCTGTTCCTCCTAAGTTCGTCTGGAAACCTTTCTCACCGTGGGTCCAAAAATCAATTAACCACCCGACAACCTTCCTTAAACTCGGTTAATTTCAAGAAAAATTACACAAACTTTCAAGTAGTTTTAATTTAAATAGACCAACCAAGGGTAAAATGGGTGACAAATTAACATAGAATATTTACTAAGGATTTGACTTGGAGAGACGATAAAAGGCGGTCTTTGTTTAGTCGGTTTAACCAAACGGGCACTAAACACCGGTTTTTAATGGGGAACTCGGTGGGGAAGGGAAAATTTTTCTTAAGGGGTTCGGGTTCGGGGGGTTTAAGTACACGGGTTAAGGTTTATTTCGGTGGTATAGACGGTAGGTCCGTCAAATGTCGGCTTCGTAATCCTCTTTTCGGTCGTTTGAAACAATACGGTTGGAAGCGACCAACAAATGTCCCTTTTTCATAACCCTTTTAACGTCGTTGGAGGTAGCGTCCGGGAGTAATAGTGAGACAACCAAAATTAGGGGGAAAACGGTCTTTTCCGTCTAAGAAAGAAAGAACTCCGTCGTCCGGGGTCCGCACCTCCCTTTAAAAGGTGAGAACGATACGGGAAGGTGTTTGTGATAAGGGTGGTTTCCCGTAATATTCTCTTCGGGTGGGTATATAGGGACGAATTGTTTGTCGTAACTCCTCCAATCTTTGTTACGGGAAAGACAGAAACTCAAAAATTATAAAATCAAGGACGGACCGGAAAGTTGGGGTTTGCCGGCAGAAGAAGGGTGCTCTAAAACAAAAAACCGGTGAGTGTCCTTCCAATTTAGTTATAAACCTGGTACAACCGTCGACCCTCGGGGTAACAAGAAGGTAACACCTTACCTTACTACAACATAAGCATTAGACGTTGTACTCTCTCAAGAACGAACCCAAAGGTAATCCAGTACTAAAACTATAATACCGGAATCCCCGACCTTCTACAGGTGCACCATAGAGAGCATCCTGACCTTCTACAGGTGCACCATAGAGAGCATCCTAACCTTCTACAGGTGTACCATAGAGAGGATCCTGACCTTCTACAGGTGCTCCATAGAGAGGATCCTGACCTTCTACAGGTGCTCCATAGAGAGGATCCTGACCTTCTACAGGTGCTCCATAGAGAGCATCCTAACCTTCTACAGGTGTACCATAGAGAGCATCCTAACCTTCTACAGGTGCACCATAGAGAGCATCCTAACCTTCTACAGGTGCACCATAGAGAGCATCCTGACCTTCTACAGGTGCACCATAGAGAGCATCCTAACCTTCTACAGGTGCACCATAGAGAGCATCCTGACCTTCTACAGGTGCAACATAGAGAGGATCCTGACTGGCTGCATCACGGCGTGGTACGGCAGCTGCACCGCCCTCAACCGTAAGGCTTTACAGAGTGTGGTGAAAATTGCACAGCACATCACCAGGACGGAGCTGCCATCCATGGAGGATCTTTACTCCCAGCGGCTCAGGAAGAAGGCCCTCAGGATTATCAAAGACCCCCATCACCCCAGCCACAAACTGTTCTGTCTGCTGCCGTCTGGCAGGCGGTACCGCAGCATCAGGTCAGAAACCACCAGACTCAGGGACAGTTACATCCCACAGGCCATAATACTATGTAACACTCAAGCTTGCACAATTTTTCTATAGTTATTTTCCTCTTTTTTTATGTCTTGTATATATTTATATTGCATTGTTGAGGAGCCCGTGACCTACGTTTTTCATATCATATACACAAATATACTGTAGTGAATTTAAAAACAGATACAATGAACTACGACGGGATAACGTTTATCTGATAGCATGATCATTTAACATTTCTATTGGGTTAAGTTGGCCCCATCTGACCCTTCTTACCAGGTTGCCTGACACCAACGTTTCTGGGAAGTGTGCTGGACATAGGATAGTTCGAAGAAACGGGGGAGCGGCTTCTTTCTCCCCGAGGCGACCTGTGGCCCATCTGGCTCCCGTCGTAAGGGCTCAGCAATTTGGAGGATGAGGTGAAGGGTGAGGCAGGAACAGCCATGACACTTGGAGAAGAGCCTCTCTCCATGTAACTGGTGGAGCTTCGTGGGCTCCTGTCATACTGAGAAGGGGAGTTGTGCCTCGGGCTGTTAGGTGCCATCCTGGGGCCCTGCTGGCCGTACGAGTAGCTGTCGGATCCAGCCCGAGGAAGTGGAGAGTGCGCCCTCTGGATCTTGGGGGATGACACCGGACTGGTGTAGAAGACCGGAGGGGATGCGCTCTTACTGCTGGAGATGACGGAGTCCAACAGACGGGCAGTTGTTGAGCTCGGCGATAAAGGCTTGGAGCTGGAGCTTCCATTACTGCTGCCACTCGACACCCTCTTAGGCTTCTCCGGGGAGACTTCAGAGTTGGTCTAAAGGAAAGATTGATCTGTTATGAGCATTGTTTTTAACAACGACTTAATGTGTTAGAATTCAACAACTGCTGCATCATCAAGTCTTTGACATGCTGCCAATGGGTAAGACTCGTGTTTGTCAAGGGCTTTAGCTTTGACTGACCAGTACAGTTGTGCATTCCATTTTTTCTAGAATATAGACAGATCAACCCCAGAAATACATTTTAGCTTTGAGGAAAGTATGACGTAGGAAGGCTAATGGGAATCCTGGGTGTTAGCAACATGCTGGAGGCTTGCTATGAGGAAGGAGTAGTGAGCTGTGTGTGAGTGTGAGTACCTGAGTGTTGTTGTTGGAGGAGGCCTCCTTCAGCAGGGAGTTGAACTCTCTGGATAACTCATCTGCTGTAGCCAGCGATGCGTTCAAGTCATCGTTTATATTCTGGACTGAAATCAAAACACATTATCACCGCAGACAATTAGCATAGGGTATTCCCCCCAAGAGCAATATTATGCACCAGGCAAGATAAATGTAGTGGAAACTCACACAGCATGCTGCTGCCAAAGCTGGTCTGAGAACTCATGGCTGTGAGGTAGCAGCGCCTGGCTTCTGTCGAAAGAAAACACCACACACACACACACACACACACCACCTTTTAACTGACAATGTTTTCATAATCTCTCTAATCTCGATTTATTCCCATTCAGCACTTGTAGCACAACCTAAAATACAAGCATGATTCATAGGAGCAGGCCGTGCTATCAGCCCCGCTGGCTCTCATTCCATTCCCCTGAGCCTTACTTTGATTCAATAAATGTCAATCTTGCTGCGTCTTCAAACTGCTAAGGAGTGTTTAACCCTACCCTGTCTCTCCTGCTGCGGGCTCCTCTCCCACCTTCAGGCGCTCTGACAAAAAGCCAACTTTCTACGCGTACTCTGAACTCCATTCCTGTGTTAACAAGCCCCAATTGCCACATACTTTAACAGCTGAAAAAGACTCAAAACATTAAAGGCATGCTGGAACTGAGTTACTGTATGTAACGGATCACACCACTAAATTACATCACAGCCCTTTGAGGACCCTTTTAAGGAAAACAGGAAGTGTCTGTCCTGGTAGCTGACTCAACAATGTATCTGTGTTCCCAGGTGTTCAAGCCTGACGTCACTTATGGCTGGTCTGTTGTAAAGCCAGTTTCACACAGACAGATACTCATGTGGATGGCATATTATACTAAATATCCAGACATCTGTCTAAGCCAACAGGTTGATTATTCCAGACTAGTTTCTCATTGCCAGACATTTCTGCAGAGTGCTGTGCCATTCAGGAAAACAATCTGGGTTTTTTGTATTTCTTTAAACCAATCAGATTGCAGCGACCTTGAAAAGCATTACACTCAGATAGCGTATGAGGGTAAAGGCCAAGGGAATGTTAAGTGGTTTGATTTCCTGCTCATTAAGATACTCTATCGTGACTATAGATTGGTGCAGTCATGAGGTTATTTTTGTAGGCTGAACCCGCAAGTTAGCATTGCAAGAGCTCCCTCAACAAAAATCAGAAGCTCCCTCAACAAAAACACACATTAAGACATTTTCCGGGGACAGTCCCCGTTTGTATTGGCCTGTCCCCGGTTGAAACTGTCCCCGGAAATGTCCCCGTTTTTTAATATACGTTAAAAACACATAGCAAGGTGAAATAAAACGTTTCATGTCAGGAAACACTGGGTAAACAGACTGTGGTCAAGCCAGCCCCCACTTCGGAAAACACAGTCAAGCCAGCCCGCACGTTGTATTGCGGTGCGCGAATAGATAGATAGAGGCCTGTAAAAACTGCCTTCAAAATAAAACCGTTTACTCGTTCAATAACAAATATACCTAAAAAACACACCAAACATATTCATATACACTTGAGCTTAAATTAAGAAACTAACTCCTAAAATAACATTACTTTCTGAAGCACAATTTAAAATTCATGCTGTTTAAAATCTCAAATTAGATCTATTGTCCATCTATCTTTGATTATTATTTAATGGTCAATCAAAGAGTCATTCGAAGTCAATCAAATATTTATTTCAGAGTGATAGCAGGAGACCCAATCTAGTCATTCAGAGAAAATCTGGACAATTTGGTGAAGAATTTCAAAAAATAAAATACTTTTGAAATCTCATATATGGGCTATCGTCCTTCTGTTTTTATACAAGAATAAACAAAAAACTGTCAAATTATCAAAGACTTATTTCACTCCAGGTTGATAGCAGGACACCCCATCTAGTCACTCAGAAAGAATCTGGACAATCTGATGTACAGTTTCAAAATAAAAGACCTTTGAAGTCTCATATATGGGCTATCGTCCTTCTGTTTTTATACAAGAATAAATAAAAAACTGTCAAATTATCAAAGACTTATTTCACTCCAGGGTAATAACAGAACACCCCATCTAGTCACTAGAGAATCTGGACAATCTGATGTACAGTTTCAAAATAAAAGACCTTTGAAGTCTCATAATGGGTCGGGCCGGCTCTGTATGAGCTATCATCCTTCTGTTTGTATCCAACAGTTAAAATGTTCGAATGACATTGAACCAGAATTGCCCCCCTTTTTTCTTTAACAGTGAAGAAAATTGGATATGTTAATGATATATTGACCGCAAAACTCAAAACGTCCCCGGTTTTAATTTTGAAAATCTGGTCACCTTAAGTTAGAAAGATCCAAAATCTATTAGAAAAAAACATAACTGCAAACTGTTGCTGAAGTGATGTGTTCTAATATAGTAGCATGGTTGACTGCACCAAATGTTAGATAATAGTTTAGGGCTAATGTCAGCAGGTTAAGCTTTAGCCACATCTAAGCTAATTAAGCTAGCTAGAAAATGTGGCCAGAACTTTGTATAGTGAACTACTGATTTCAAACAGTGGACTTCAATAAAACACCTGGAAATTGATGCTAAACTAAAATGTTATTAAGGCTACTGGACAAAAAAGACTTTGGTGATAAGTGTGGTTAAAGTTTTATGGCTGATGTTTGACCAGATGAAGATCAGCCTTGGATTGACGTGTCTATTGGGTGATTTTGTGGTATGGATTCTCCTCTCTCTTTGCTGTTTTCCAAAAGCATCTAGCACCTGCATGCAATGTGCATAATCATGCTCCTTCTGCACATACCAATTGGAAAAACAGAGCCCAGTAATTCAAGTAATTCAAGGCTTCCAGCTTTGTTAATTAGCTCTTTACAGAAAAGTTGTCGCTGTGAGAAAAAAATGCAGATTAACAGTCAACATAAAATACTACTGCAAAATACCATCTCACTATGCTAAAGTTGTCTGGTTACACTTTTGTCAGTATTTTTACAATAACTGATCTTTCCTTTGGCGCAGCGTCTGTCTCTGTGTAAAATTGACATAAAATAAATCATCAGAAAAGCTGTCTCGCGTAAATGTGGGAACATGTATAATTCATACTTACACATGCAGATTTATTCTATCAATCTTACATAATCTTTTTCTCTCTTGTTTTTGTACAGATAACTGTGGGGAGGGAGGGAGAGGGGGGAGACCTGTGGATGATTAGCTTCTTTTTGTCCTCTGTTTTTTCTCTGCTTTATTTTCCCTGAGAAGATTAAATATTTCTGCTTGAGAAAATCTTTTTAAACGGCCACTGACTGCTGTCCTGGCCCCCTCTGTCACTGCCTGAGCACACAGGGTGCCCCTCCAAAAACCCCACAGTTCTCCCCCATTTTGTCATTCCAAAATGTGGTGAAAAAATGTAATCTTCTAACAAAGAATAGAAAAGGGTGGCTATAGAGGAATTTTTTCTGCAAGTGGCCTCTTTATTGGGTGGGGGATGGGCCGCGGAGGGCTCCTTCACAGTATCCACACACAACAGGACTCCAATCTGTCAAATAATTAGCCAGTGTGGGAGGACAAAGGTTTTTATTTGCCCGAATTTCATACATCACTGCTTGAATACATCATCACTGTATTGTGACGGGTCATGGGAACTTCAGCTTAGAGACAGAGAGACGGAGACACAGACAGGTCTGGAAAACCCAATGAGGAATTTATAAAGGTTTATGAAGATAGACATACAACAAGAGTTTTAATGTTGTCTGAAATAGTTATTTTTTGGAATCTTTGTGAATTGACTTAGAAAAGTGCTGTCGATTGATTGACTAATGCAAACTTTTATTTATGCAAGGCAACGTCACTGAAATCCAACTTTTTATAAAGAGTTTTTTGTATAGTTTTGCATATCCAACATTTCAAAAGGCCAAGATGATGACTTTAAATCACTTCTTTTGTTTGACCGTCCGGCAAAAACACAAAAATACTCAGTTTACACGGATATGACACAGAGGAAATAAAACAAATCCTCACATTCAATAGCTGGAACCAGAAAATAATGAACTATTTTTGAATACTGAAGTATTACGAAGTTATCAAAATAGTTGCCTATTATTTAGAGAAATAAATCGATGAGTGAGTTTTCAGTTCAGCTATAACAAAACATTTTTGCATGTTGATTTTTAATATTCAAAATGAAAACTGTTTTAAATAAGCAATAACAACTATATATATATAAGACAACACAACATGATGTTTATTGGCGTATTTGTTTGTTAATAATTACAAAAATTACTCAAATGTCAAATAATTATCTGTCAATCAACTAATCGATTTATTGACTAATAATTATAACTAAATAAATGTAAATGTCACATTTAGCTCATCTTTCTGTGATTGATGCAAACTGTAAATAATAACAAGTGTCCCGTACAGCAACCTGGGGGAAAACGCTTCTACACTGACACAAAATGAGAAGAAGCTCTTCAGAAATAAAGGATATATTCATTTAACTGTATCCAATGTTACTTTGATTCAAAAGAGCAACATGTTTCACATTGGTTAAATTATACAGTAGGGCCAAGTCTTAGAGCTTCCTGAGGATCATTTGGCAAATTAAGCTGATTTCAACTTTTAAGACAGTCATAATGATGTATACATCCTTCCAAGCCAAACCTCTGACCACATGTTTGTCCTATACAGTATGCTATAATAATTCAATTCAATCTCACTGACAGCAGTGATCAGGCCTCAAAAAGGAGGCGTTCAAGTGACACTTCCAGTGAAGTATTTTTGATGTTATCCTTCAGCATGTGCGTTCATTTGAGGTGTCTGTCAATATAAGCTCTTTTCATTGGATGTTTAGTTGGAAGATTAACCTGTAATTGGCCCTTGCTGAAACTCTTCTTCTGTGGTGGTCAGAAGTGATCAGGAGCTTCATAGAGTCTGCTTGTATAAAGTCGCTGCTCTTTTCACCTCTGAGTGTGTGTGTGAGGGGAACAGAGTGTGTACAGCCATTGTTACGTGTGATTGCCCCGCTCCACACGTTCCTCTGCAGGATTACATTGATCCACTGAGTGAAGAGAAGTCCTGGTGACGTACTGTACCCAGCAGCAGGGGCCGGTGGGGGGAAGGGGGGGTCCTGAAGCGCTTTCTGTCCTTTTCTTTACCGGGAACTGAAATTAATTAGCGAGATTAGGCAACTGGGAACCATTCTCTGTGGTGATTTATTTATTTTTAAAGTTAAGGCCTTAAAAAAAAATAACAATGAAACATTGAAAAGAACAGGCCTTAGTTTTTCCATAAATTGCCAGAAATCATGCCAGAAAATAAAAAAGATATCCTAAAAATCTAGCAATGTGTCCGCCGGTACATAACCATGCTATGATACCAGCTGGATTAGATCTTGGCTCAGTTTGTTTTTAGGTTAATTTAAATTAGTTTGACATTAAAATAGATGGCTGTGTGTATGTTATGCAGATAATGTTGGATACAAGTCCCTTACACTTTTACACTCCATGTAAAGGATATTATTTACAGTACGTCTCTTTCATTAGGTTTCATTACATATTCAATTGCAAAGTGCAATTTGAGGCCTTTTTGATACATTTTGCATCTTTGAAAAGTTGATTTGGGCTCATAACCTTTTCACTTTTGACGTAATAATATCAGTCAAATTAAAAAGAAATCCAGATTTTCAAAATATTTCTCCACTTAAAATCATTTAAAAAAACGTTTAATGCGGTCAAGTATTCCTGTTTTGGTTTTATTGCATGTTGTATTTTGAATTTGTGGCCTGCTGGGCCTTTTTATAGCCCTTTTACTATTTTTGTCTATGTTTTCCTTTATTCTTGGAGTGTTAATATGTTGGCGATGCAGTGACATCAGTAAATGTCAGTATACATCAAAAGCACATGAACAATTCCTAATTGTGTTTATCATGCAGGAAGAACACATTTCTGACCTCTATTATTACATTTGTTTAAACACAAATGATATGTATTTATATCATTAACAATATAATTGCTGCTATTTCCATAATGTGCACAGCTGTTATTCCGGCTTCATTTTCTTCTTTGATTTACTATACTTCTTTTTTTTTCTGAATAAAGTAACGAATAAAATCAAGACTAACAAAGAAGACGCCATAAAATCAGAAAGCTAAACACACTCCTAATTGTCATGTGTGACTGAGTGACATTCTCAAATCTGGTCTCGGACTCGCTGTTTTACTTTCTCCCTCGTCTTTCTTCCTCCCTCTCCCCTCAGACTGATTTATACACACAACATGTTGCACAATGGGAGCCTTGTTTGCTAAATGGGATAGCCTTAATGGAGACTTATATTTCCAGGATTATATCTGTATTCAGTTGCAAATGATTTGGAGGGGGGAGGAGGGGGGTCCGTTTCAATACTCTTCCTCTGTCTATGAATAATAGTATCATTTGAATTAAGTGGACACCTGGTGCAGTGGGTACGGCTCTGAGGCGCGCTGTTGACCCGCTCCCACTGCCAACTTCCCTTTTTCCCAGCCTGTCCTTATCCGCGCGTCCAAGCCTCCGATTTCATTCTCCCCTGCACAAAATGCCACACACTTGTAACTTTAGTCTCCCTTCGGCAAAAACTTGCTCTCTCCTGAAAGGCTTTTTAAAAAAAACTTTAAGAGAGGAGGAAGAGAAGGGAAATTCTTATCAATCTCCTCTTAGATTTTGGGCATTTGAAAGCACGGTGTAATGTTTCAGGGAAAACTTCCAATTAAATACTGTAAAAAAAGATAAAATAACAGTATCCCGGTCGCTGGTATTAAAGCCCCCTTTTGTTGACTTATTGTACATTAGCCACTGAGCCATGCAAAGGGAAAAGGGGACATTTCAGAAGGGGATTCTATTTGTATGCATCCTGCGTTCTGCTCCACACACAATCAGGCCTGTATTGCGTTTTGCAAATTTATACCAGGATGTAGGTTTAGAGTGTCCCCACACCCCCCTCCCCTGAAAGAAAAAAAGAAAGTTTTTCAAGTAAGTGTCTGCTTTCATGAGCACAAGTGATTGAGGCTCACAAACAAAGCTTTGTTTCTAAACTCACAGATGTACAGCCCCGCCGTAGCTTTGTCCGCCGCCCCTGAGAAGCATTCATAGATTTCTATTAGGAGCACAACATTGGATTGTTGAGGAAATACTTTAAGAGTGGACATCCAATAATAAACCCGAAAAGCTTTCCCAGGGTTGTATTTTTCACCCAAGAGAAGGAAAGGAAAGAAGGCTTTTCTGCCCTGATATCAGATCAAAAGAAAGTAGCCTTTTTTATGTCCTTCTTTTCACTCTTTCCTCATGCCTTCGCTTTTGTAAAACGCCCTGAGAAACTAATGAGACTCCTCCACAAAAATAATATTTAGCACTTTCAGCTTTGACTGAGATTCTGGGACAAGATAATGTGTGTATTTCAGATTGAACTTCCTCCTGAGGCAGTTGTGCTTAAGGAACATTCTGAGGGCGTATGCTCGCAGTATTTCCACGTTCTTATCATTCAAAGGAAATTACAGTTTTCACGCCACGACATTCATTTTCTAGAATTTACATCAAAACATATTGATGATCCCATATTCCAAACCTGCTTGGTGATCTCTTACAGAAACTCAGTGTGAGGCCCCTTCATGCTCCAGATATTTGTCAGTTTTAGCAGCAGTTTCACATTTGTATTTTTAACATCACACACTTCATACAATAACTGTTGGAGGCCAAGAAAGCTGAGTTGAGAAGGTGATTTGAAATGCATTCCATTCAAATTATAAGTTACCTGTGACAAAAAAAATTGTCGCTAACCTCAGTATTGAAATATAAAGGTAATGTAACCTGATTATTTGCCATTCTTTTGTATTCCCTTGAAATCATGCTAATGCATAAAAGAGAAAAGGAATATCATAAGATGTTTTTTACTTAAGTGTTATATCTAAGACAACAGAACAATGTTACCTTAATAAAGAAGAATCCAAGACATTTAGATCAAGAATTATTTTATTGATAGGAAAACCTGCCTTTCATGAAGCATGTTCAGGCAGCAGCCATACACCAACAATGAACCACATGAGCACATACTACAGGTTAAAGCGGAGAGAAAATGCTCCGTTTTAGTTTAATACACACAGTTAAGCTCACACACACTATTTTATGAACATATAGGTTCACCTACTGAATTAAAAACGGAACAAATGAAGCAAAGAAAGTGAAAACCATAAAGTAGATTCAGGCAGTACACGTATAGATTCACACTTAAAGTGTTATCCTACAGAACAGAACAGCTCACAGAGAAGAGACAACATCTGAGCCTTTACAAAAACCACCATGCTCTTTTTAGGTTTTCACTGACATGAAATCATGCTAGTTATCCTCAGTATTTAGAAATGTAACAGTAATCTGATTATGTCGTTTTTTTATGTAACTTTAAGGGACTACCGGTTTTTTTTTTGTATCCTGATTACGTTATCCCGTTACATGAAATCTGTTACTCCCCAGGTCTGAATGATTGAGTTTGAATGAAAAGCAAAAATGTATTAAAAATCCCCAAAGATATTTCCAATTTGTTTCACAGAACATTACATTACATGTCACTTGTTAGACACTTTTATCCAAAGCAACTTACATACTCAACACTGTGGACAATCCCCACAGGAGCAGTTTGGGGTGAAGTGTCTCAGGGACACAACGACATTCTGACTGCAGTGGGGTTTGAACCTGTGACCGCCTGATCAGATCACCAACGCACAACCCACTGCACCACACGCCTCACTTTCTTTATTCTTCTTTCGTTATCTAATGATCCCCGAAATATGTCCTCCTCCTTAGCTACAAAAGTAAAATGCTGTGCATGGACATATCTCTCTTAACAATTTGTTTTTTTTCAGTGGAAAGTGCTTTTACTTTTGATCCTTTAAGAAAATGTTACTGATAATATTCAAAAACATAAAAATTGCACATCATTGTGAACATGAAATGATGCACTCAATGTGCCCATACAAATACAAATACAAATAAATATTCCATTACATACATTTGTCTGAAATACGTGGGTATAAAGTGTATTTTTAGTTTGTGATTTCTGATAGCTGATGACCCTTTAACTTCAAGAAAGTGTTCAAGTCACACACACGCATGCACACACACACACACACAAACACACGCACACACACGCACACACACAAACACACACACACACACACACACACACACACACCCACNNNCAACACACACACACACACACGACACACACACACACACACACACACACACACACACACACACACACACACACACACACCCACTCAGGAGGCTCCTGTTGGAGTTAGATGACAGGAGAACAATTATCCGTCTGATTCTCTTGTCGATGCAGTTATGTGTATGCGGTCGATGGACATGTAGTTGTTATCCCCGATCGATGCTGAGACACTTCATAATGTGAGGTGATGAAGGTGATGAAGCTGATCCCTGCGCCACGTCCTGATCCCCATTTAGCTGTGATTGCTGGCGTGAATCCGTTTGCTGCTTATGGATTAGCTGCGTTGGCCCTGAAGAGGCTGCAGTTGATGATGTGATTAAATCAATGATCATCTCTGCGTCTTTCATTCGTCTCGTCTGGCTGCGCTGCTCGGCCCTCTGTCTCTGCAGCAGGGGACATTTTACCCAGGATGCACCTCAAAGGCACGTTCACTGTCTTGGTGTTTAATACAAGAAAAGGCAAGAAAATAGCATTATTTGAACTGGGGTATGCAAAATGTAAGAGTAGTGTAATGTGTTAAAGATTTTGGATTTTTATGGCAGTTCCTATACATTTTGTTTTTTACTTTTTAAGTTTACTATCCTTTTTTTAAGATTGCTAGTTAATGTTTAGAGTGTGTTTTAAGGAGATTTTATTTATTTGTATTTTATTGAATTCTCAAGATTTGTCATTTTAGGGAACTCTCCCTTTAAGGGATTTGTATGGCTTTAAGGTATTTTTAAGGATTTCTTTATACTGTACATGTTTAGATATTTCCAATCGTTAGTATTTCAGCTTTTAGGGAACAATCTGTGAAATTTGATTCATCAAATATTGTTGTTCTAGGGAAATCTAGACAGTTTGTGGATTTTAATGTTTTTTAAGGATAAGGGTTTTAAAGGTATGCGATTTTTAGGCTTTACCTGGATTTCCCAGAATTTTTAGGGAAATATAAGTTATTTATTATAATTTTTTACCATTTTGTTCCAATGTTATATCCCCAACCTAGTCTACTCTTCTATCAAGGTTTTTTCCTTTGTTAAAAATTGATAATTTTACCAATATCTTTTCTTCAAAGTAGACAGCTTGCTCTTAGCATTGTGGCTAAATGTTTAGCACCCAGTTGTTTTACAACCTTAAAGCGTTTATCTGCTCCACAGACGATGAATGAGCGCTGCTGCAGCTCTGCCTCAGTTGTGTCTAGACTACAGGAAATGCAAAATTGCATTTGTTTACAGCCTGTCGGAGCTCAAAGCGGGCGGTGCTTTCAGAGAGCAGCAGAGAGGGAGGGTGGCAGAGAGAGGCAGCAGAGAGCAGGATATGAGAGGGGTTGTGCAGGGCCAGGATGTGCTGTAAAACTGCTGTAAAGCAGATTGGATTCGTTTGACTATTTGCATCTCATGACATTTGTTTTTCCCTCCCTCCTCTCTCCCGCCTCTCCCCGTCTTCTCTTTCTGAATGGACCGTTTGACGCACGTTCTGCCATTTTGTGGCTAGGAGAGAACAAAGTGTGAGGCAGGTAGAAACAGAAACATTCCCTGGGTTTAATTGAGGCCAGAGTTTATGAGAGAAGCTCTCTGTTTTCTTTCTTCTTCTCTCATTTTCATTTCTCTGTAAACACCAGGCCAGGCAGAAGGTGTCAGCGAGCGGCTGCAGAATCATGATATCTGCCAGTTCCTACGCCTCAGGACCAGACATAACACAAACATGAGTATGATGACAGATTTGTTCTGCTGTCTGTCTATCTAGCTATTGATTATCCTTCAGTGGGAGGCCATAAATGACCCGTGATCATCTGGCTGAAAAACATACTCCCAACATCTGACCTGTCACCAGAGGTTAATCAAATAAACCGCGCAGGCCCTATGGAGCATGACTTTGCAATTATCCGTAACTTGCTCCTACCACGCCGCCTTTTATTGCATCATTAATATGTGGGAAGCCAGGGTGAAAACTGAGGGTAGGCAACTCTTAGAAACACTACTTGGTGTTCAACATGCAAGATCTGCTAAAGGAAAGAGTACATAAACACTTTGGTAAGGGAAAAAACCCTCTATC